GGATAATTGAACAATTCTGAAAAATCCTTGGTTACAGATCAACTTTCCACTCCATTTCTCAAGCTATTCCCCTCAGAAACCTGTGGAACTTCTGGATGCCAGCTTTTTCGATTGATATAACTATCAAACTGTTGCTTTGCGACTGCGGGCTTTACTAAACTGTCAGAACTTATCTCGGCCGTGCACAAAGGAATCCAGAGAACTTTTCAGAGATTTGCTCAGCAACTGATCAAAAATTTCCTCTGTCCGGTAATTCAATAAACAGCTAACGTAATCTTAAGTCAATATAAATCTAATACCCCTGATTTCACTAGATCGTGGTACACTCTTTCCAAGTTGAATAGCTGTTCGCTTGATACCAGTCTGAGTTTCAGTTTCATTTGAGGGTTATTTTATCCCAGATTTGTCTCAATGGAAAACTTTGGGGTTATAATAGGCTTCAAAAGTTATTGATTTCCCCAGACCCCTCCCAAGCTTTTCGAATTTTGTTCTTGTGCTGAAAAACCACAATTATCCTTTTATGTTGAAGGTTACGGTTTTCATCTTCACAACTCTAACTTTCGTTTTAACCTGTTTTTGCTGGTTTTTTCAAAGAACAACTCCCAAGGACGAAGACATATTCTCAATTCTTGGCAATACACCTTTAATTTCTTCAAAAGAGTAAGTTACCAAAGTTTTGAAAACGTAGCATGAAGGAAGCGAAAAATTTAATAACTTAAGACCTTTCCCTCACTAATATGACTTTCTGCAGTTCTCGTGTCTACAAAATAATTATTTCTTTACGATGCTGTGCGCTTGATTGCGCACACATACTCTGTTGGTGCACATTCTAACCAGAAGTCAGTGTTGAAAGCATTATGAAAACGCCAATTCCAAAAATATCGTTTACAATGCTTGAAAAATTGTCACCAAGCAGCTGACGAGACCAAGAAAATTGTGGAAAAAGAAAAAAACATACAAAATAAAGTGGATGGCTAGTTCAAACAAACAACAAATGAAAACGGGAGCCAAAATACTACGTCACTGGGACATAGCAAAGCCCCAGCCTTGAAAAACTACCAGGTCGGGAAATTTAGAGGCCAATTCGGAAAACGATGTGCTGTCTGAAGCTCATCTAGCAGATTAGTCTTTTTAAATCGTTATTCTGACATGTACTGGAGTATGCGGCAAACGGGGACATGAAAATAAACTCATTCAATAGTAAACAATAATCTCACACTGGAAGTAGTTGATTCATGTGATTCTGAATCACAAACAACTGTCGAGTGGTCAAACAGACTGATTGAATATTCAATGTCCATTTCGTGCTGATCAGTAACGTTCCGTCATTAACAACGCTTGGATGATTCAACCCAAAAGCGGTCAGAGCATTGTAACAGTACCTAGGGATCTGTTCAGAAATGAACTATTTGCTCGACAAACCAGAATAAATTGAACAAATGGTCAGTGATAAGGCACTGCCGACCGAACCACTTACGCCAACAACAACAATTTTTTCTAACAGTTGTCTTTGTGTTGAACGGTAGAGTAAGTCCAAACATCAGGTAGACACCTAAAACTCAGTAAGGTTGATAATGAAAATGGGAAAGCATGAATTAGTTTCAAAAGTGAATTCGTCGTGTAAATGAAGCGCGACCGGAAAAGCTAGGAAGCACTGGGCATGAAACAAGTAGTCAGGTTGTGATTGTTTCCAACCGAAGACTACGGCTAGCCGAAGCTTCATATCTACACAAAACGGTGCAACCACATTTGAAACCACTTTGATTTCATCCTTATTCCATTAGGAAACTAATTTTTTTTATTACACACTTTCGTGTGATGATGAACAGCAGACGGGGCGAACCCCATAGTCACGAGGACCTGCTGTTCAGTGATGGAAACCGGTAATCTAAGCCCGGGAGTTGGAGTGGTGAACCACCTAAGGCCCCGATAGGTTAGGCGTTGAATCGAAACAGACGACAGCAAAGCTGCCTACCACCAAAGTTGGGTGGAGGTGGCGGAGCTCAAACCTCGGACCATAGGGCCCAAAGTACACCTGTGACAGCGACTAAACCACTTCGCAGCAAGTGACCCTGATTCACTGCACACACACACACACACACACACACACACACTGAGAGACTGGGCTAGGGATCTTACAACGTCAATCTTTTAGCTTTTTCAAATCCCGTGTTTTCTTAAACGATTCCCGATATTAATGGTCAGCTCCGATAAAACTAATGTACTGAGAGGCATTTCAGCTTGCTGACTGACTTCTAGTAGCCTTTTAGCCGTTTAAAGCTTTTGACTACTGTTATCCCATAACTTTCTTCTCACAAACCAACACTATCAACATTTGACGTCACTACCCGCTTTATCAATCTTGTGAGATTTTTCTTCAACAAAGGCACTAGTGCTATTTTTTCAACGGTTGTAGAATATGACGGCGCTTGCAAGTAACCTGACCATTGTGTCCTTGTCCAAAGCCAGTCTTATGTTATTGCTAGCATTCATAGCAGCCCAAACGTGTCTTCAAGTCTCCAGAGGGTGGTAGTCAAGATAAAAAGGTTACCAACTTATAGCACCGAAAGGTGAACCCCGCAAGCGTCGTGTAACTTTTAACATTTTCTTTATACAATATGGCAGCCTTGAGAGTGGTCCCTTTCCCGTTTTCGGAAAATTGTGTGTAATCATGTTTCTATAAGATTAAGTAACAAGAAAAGAACTCGTCCCGGTTTATGCTGATCAACTTCCCTCATGAGTTTGTATTCAAATTTAGAAAATACTGGTTTCCTTTAACAACTTGCGTTAGGTTTTGGCTATATGCACTGATGTAAACTAAACATTTGTGCCCGTTTTGCCCCTGGACATCAGAGAGAAAAGTCGTCCCTTGTACTCCATGTCTTTCAAACGTATTTCTCAAATTAACAGTGTGTACAACAGGGAAAGTGCCAGTTGGGTTTTGTGCATACATACGTTTTGTTGTCTTTCATGATGACCTGTTCGACAGACTAGTTCATTACGAAGAATAAATTATTATTATACATGTGAATGCCCGTAGGTATTCAAGCTAAAACTCTCCCTGAAGGTGTTATTACCGCACAGTTTCTTGTTTTTCCTTAGAACTACTTCTAGTCTTCATCAACAACTTCAGAAATACAAAAGATTTCGCTTTCCATGTTTTCACCTCTACTACCATTTGCAATGTCCTGTATGAATTGTCGAGCTGATGAAAATTTGAGATCTAACTTAAATATATAAATGACGAAATTCACCATATATTTGAAATAATTTGAAACTAATCCCCTGTTGCCTTCGACTTCCCTTTATTAATAAACAATCAATATGCTAGAGCGGGGCCTCGCCAGACCTTGAACAGCAAAGTAAAAAACCAATAGTCACTAGGATCTACTATTTGATTCCGGGGCTCGGCGATATGCAACAGCGAACTATATAAAACCCCAACGTGATAGACGTGGTATCGAGTGAACCGATTGTAAAGCCGTCTACCACGCTATACTATTCGCCAGCCAACCAGCCAAATATTGACCTCCGGGGATGGAAAATATTCGCAACCTATGAACCCGTTTCCACCAGCAGGCCCACAATGAAATCGAAAAACATCCGAATGAATGAATCAAAAATAAAAGTGTACTTTGCGGCAGTTTCCGAAACGTACTCACAATAGCCACAAAAGGGAAGCATAATATTTGCACATTTGTACATGTGGGCGGGAACAGCCACTACAGCATGGAGGGAATGTGGCAATTTGTAAAATGAGCACATTCTGAGCGGCAGTTGTATGTGTGCGCGCGCAAAAGGTTGCAACAAAACCGGGTTAGCACAGTCTTGGTCGCAACACGGAACGGTGGACCAGCCGTTCGACATATTAGAAAAGGAATCCCGTGTTCTGAGGCAATTTTTTCACAACATGAACTGACTGAGCGATCACACAGAAATGCAATCGGAACACAGTGGAATTGACACTGAGGGCTATCGTGAAATGGGAGGATAGGTATGTGCACATGGAACCACAGTAAGCTAAATGCTGGAATGATGCTCGAGATGTGCGAAAACCAAGTACAAGATTGTTATGGCTCAGGGAGGACTGGTTAGGAACTTTTTCCAGCAAAAACGCTCCCCTAGGTGGGATGAAGCCGACTAAATTTATTGCGCGATGGTAAGCCACAGTGGATTGGGTGAATCAGTTAGTACGTGAGATCTGTGAAAGACTCTGGTAAGTAAGACCATCTTCCGCGAGTAATGGACTAGTCCAAATTGGCAATCTGGTGAGTTCGGGAAGTGAAACAGTGGGACACACGACAGCAATAAAGTTCGTGCATGGAATAGAAGTAAGATAGGGCTGAAACGAAGAGAACAAAGAGATCCTCAAAAGAATTTACACAAGAACACAAATTAGCAATAGTTTGCTTATAGTGCGCATGGAACAATAGGGATGTCAGCATATGCGTGCTATGGCTGCCGTTTCGACAAGAAGCGCAAACTGAAATCACAGAAGATGTAACAGGTCGAAAGAAAAATCAAATGATATGCGTATTAGTGGTTGTGTTTGCGAGGTGAGGACACAACGCACATGGACACAGCCAAGTGCATAGAAAGAACGATAAAAGTAAACAGGGAATTAAGGGACTAAATGAAAAGCTGTGTTGAAGTCATATCTATGTACACTCGACATACCACCATAAAAAGAAAGGAGGCAATCTGCAAGGAAAGATCCAAGATTCACTGAGTGCTGGATATATCTGACTCAACTGCACCACGGAGACTACACACGGTCGATTGCCATGCCTTATGAAACAAAAATTGGAACCTTTAAATTGGATGGATTACAAAGTTGTTAGTCTTGTTCTTACCACTCTACCATATCAATTCATGTCAAACAGAGAAGAAACGTTGGAACAGGGAGTATGGAACTTGCAGACCGATTCCATTTCACTTGAGTTTAGGGTGGACGGTGACGGGGCAGTAAAAGCAGGTGTACGAGCAAGCCAGAGCTTGTATTAGTCAGCGTCGAAGACAGAATTTGCCGCTTGTTTTAGCCTGACGTTGTCCCTGGACAGTCCGTTAACGGAAGGATAAACGGACGGCGGGAACCGTGGACCCCTCATACGAGGCACGTGTGCCTTTGGTTTGGCACGAATGAAAGGTTCGTCAGAAGAGATGAAGGCAGACAAGCTGGAGTCGGAGCTGGCATATTGAACCTAGAATCAGAAGGAAAGAAAGAACAGCTTGTAAGATCAACCAATTAAACCTCCGGTTAGGGTTGGTCAAACCACGCCAGCAGTGAAACCGTAGTTCAGGAACAAAACAAAATGAGGGGTGATGGGAAAATAGATGAACTTTTACCATGACATGCAATGATGACAAAAACACCTATTAGTATGACATGCTTTAATTGAAGGTAGAAAAATAGGAAACATTTCAATAACCATGAGTAAACTCAATGATGGGATCTTAATGCCTAGACAACGATAAATATCACCAAGGGTAAATGCACCCGATTTACACAGAAAATATGAGAGTACGCCAAAGATGTCAGATGATTTACGCAATCGATAATTGAAGTATGTTTGCCTTCGTGTTCAGGAACATTCGACACATTACAATACGTACGACTACGATTCAAAATGAAGTCGGCCTTTCAAGTTAGCAAGACTATCACAACGAATAGGAGTGATAGGAGGACAGAAAACGAGACCCGTGAAATAAACCGTAACGCTGGTCCTAGTTTTTACAGAATGAAACGCGTAATGATATTCAGATAACTTCCACACAAGAAACAAATGTATTGATCCATTACGTTTTAACACAGACAAGAGATGACAAAACTGGTCGTTACTGTGTATCCCACACGTGAATAACGCTGCATTTTAGGGTGCGGTTACGAACGAGTGGATAGTGATTACACATTACTAGTGAGTATTTCAAGCAACGATCTTGAAGATCACATGAATATGCTGCCAGTAAGTTACCTTTTGATTCGTGTGCCTGGAGTGGGACAACATACAGCGCTTTGCTATGCACTTGACTTGACTATATCTGAGGTGATAAATATGGTGCCTGACAGACAGATTTATACGAGATGCTTATCACATGAAAACGCGAGAAAACCCGCTGGATTGTTTGTCTTGGTAACTATAAGCCTAGTTCCTCACAACTGTGTTTTAGGTTCCTGTCCCTCGGCAGCTGAAAAAATCGTGAAGAGCGCGAAGGTTGGATAAAATAACAAAACAGGACAGCTGAGAAAAACTGACGACGACATCCATCGAAATCGCTATGAATTTTCAACTATGATTAAGAGGGTCTGGTGAACATCATCCAGAAAGATTGGTTCGATGTAGTTTCTTTGGCTATTACACCGGGTCATCAACCGTTGCGAACGACGGGTATCTAGAAAATCTGACAGGTATTAGGGTGAGATTGAAAACGATGAATTAAGTCTCAACAAGAAACCAGACTATAAGATGAGTCGGGAATCGTGTGCCTCTACATCCCTAGATGAGAGGTGATTGGACGAAATTTCCAGTTCCGTTGAGTGATGGAAATTATTCACAAAAATTATAAAGAGATAGAAATTTCAGACCTACTCTGATAGCAGGTTACTGACCAGTATAAATTATTAGTAGCCAGTATTCCTGAAATTTGTAAGATAGCTGTGGGCACGCAGCCTTTATGTTCTGGCACGCATCCATAGATTACACACCCAGGCTTGTCTCTGGAATGCAAACCAGATGTCTGGACGCACGCATACCCAGGTCAATCGATTGGAGGAGTGAAGTCATAAGAATCCTACTGAAACTGTGGAGCAGTGTGCACTGAGTACAACGACTTATTCCCTCTGAATGATGCGGATTTGTGTGTGCTCGAGTCGTGTATCACATCGGGGTGTGAGGATGTATCAGGTGAACTGTGAAACCAGGAAGGAGTCGAATGAGGATGATTATTTTAACAAATCACAAACATTCGTTCCATAGTGCCTGAAGTAGTCGCGAAAGATTTAGGATTACCTCACGAAAATTACCTCACACAAATTTCGCAAGTAGGCATTAATGAATGGTAAAAATCTGCTTTGCATCAAGAAGTACTTTCAAACAGCGATTACTACCAAAGATACGGTTCAGACGAAAACCTCTCAAAAATTCGAAATGAAAGTGTATTAGGCACGGCTAGTGTTCAAGTCCATGCAACGGAATTGCAGTTTGGTGACGATCATTTGAGATACACTGAACCAGTAAAAACTAATAAGCGTGACGAGGTAGGATTAGGAGAGTGACCAGACGTGCAACCTTATTTTCACAACAAAACACATGACATTTTTGAATTGGACGAAACGATGGAAAAATGACCGTCTGAATCAGATTCGGTCGCAAGCGCGTATTGGTTGGCATGCACGTACACAACAAAGCAGACAAAGAACCTGCATATCAACAGGAAACGAGTATTGGCGTTAAACATGGCTGCGCCGCAAAGATAGGTGCACAGAACAATAATAGTGCGGTCGGTATTAGCCTAAAAGGCGAGACTAACTTTGGTCAATATCCACAACACGCTCAAACCAGCTGGAACAGACACAAATGAGATACCAGGAGTGAGCATAAATCGTCAAGGCTATTCATAAGTCTAGGAATAGAACCAAGGCTAATGTGAAACAGTGAGACCAGTCCAATAATCACCGCACGAGTTTATGCTTACCCACGGGTCAAAGACCCTTTCTCAACTCGCTGATAGGCGTTTGAAAGCCTGAAAACCGCGAAAGCACAAGTTATCTTTTCACAATCGAAATGCACTTGAAAATAAAAACCTCAATCGGAAAAAACTTCTGCTCTGAAACTGTGGGATATGTTGATGCCACTGGAAGCAACTAGCCTCAGGGGCGGTCTACAACTTCAGCATTACTATCGCTATCATAAAGTGAAATCCATTGTCAAAAGAATTTTCACATCAGATGCATGCTTGAATGAAAACAATGGTGATTTTCAAGTGTGTTACTCCCGTAGAAGTTAGTGTGGGTATTTACTTCAGTTGCAAGCTTTTTGTGATAAGCGAGTTGTATGCATTTTAGGAAGATCAGATTTGAAGTTGAACCGTTGATCAACTTGAAAGTGATTGCATAATACAGTATTATATTTCACACGCGTCTGAGTCCATATTGCATGCCAAATAAATCATGGTATCATAACCCTTACAACAAAATTTATGATTTGCTCGAGATCGGAATACTTCCGGATTCCCCAAGCCAAATCGGGCGAATTTTCTTGGGATATCGACAAATGGATCCTTCGGCTAGCCAAAGCCTGACTCAAGTCAACTGGGCGGCGTGTAGAAAACCGTATTCCATTGGGGATCGATGTCCCGTTCATCTAATTATGAGGCCTGTCGATAGGGTCAAACGTTCGAGGCGCCCAATATACTTCGATGCCAAATCAAGCCGATGCGCACTGCCACAACCACGATGTGTGTGGTTCGTCCTGCAAGAGATCGTCTAGCATGTAAACTACCAAAACAGCTCAACAAACATTCTAATGCCTAAACGAGAAATGGTATTGTAAAAACTAGAGGACTTGTAGATATTGTTAAAAAGAAATCACAAATACTGGTTTCATAATTACATTTCTAAATTTATGACTTTATTTTTACCGCGTATTACGAAGGCCAGTATGCGATTATTTTCATGTAGTACCTTGTTTCTAGAGTGTCCTACGAGAATACTTATATATATATATTCGTTGGCGAACTGCAATGTTTGTAACCTTTCAATTAAATTGCCTCTTTTCGACAGGAAAAGTGACGCAACCACTGAAAATTAGGTGGTTTGGCTCATGGATCCATTCAACTGAATCGCATACTAAAAGTGTAAAGAGCAGCTACCGGATGGAGTACAAAGGAATCACTCACCAAATATCCATCATCTTCAGCCGACAAACACAGTTGGTCGTCTACATCAGGTGACTCGTCATTGCACAGTAGAAGATTATGTTCCGATTTAGAAAACAAAGTATTGGTAAATAAACTGTTCTCTTGAACAGGAACTGTTGGTCTTCTGGTATGTAACGGGCCTGCACGACGATCATACTGCCTTCTATGGTTAGTTGGGCGAGAGCGATACTGTGAGTAATGTTCACGTGAAGAAGGGGTAAGTGGTTTGGGGATCATTGGAGTGGGTGAGAACTGAAGTTGAGTCCGATAAGGTAACGAACGATCCATGGCATACACAGACAGTGGTCTTCGTGCTGGAGACTTATTGCCATATATATGGTTCTCTTGTTCGGCGCTTTCTTTTGTTGGCCTTAGAGGGGAACGGGAATACTCATTTGGACTGGCAAGAATGAAAACTGGAGAGGATG